GGGGGCAACTGCTCCGACAAAAATCAAGAAAAACACAGGTTTAAATGAAGAAAAACAATGTGGCAAACTTGCTGGATCCTTCTCTGCTCCAGATATGGGTCGTTTTCGAAATGCCTGATATCCTTCATTATGCTGAATTAGGTCAACAATTTTTTTTTTGAAAAAAAAAGTGTAGAAATTGGGTTTGATTTGAAAAAAAACCCTCTGCCCTAAAACGAATTTTTGACATTTTCGTTTGGATGCAGTGAAGATCATATTTCTCTTAATGATTACAGGTATTACAAAACGTTGTTCACCATTTTGGCTGTGATAATCCCAACAGCGATACCGTATTACTTCTGGAATGAGGATCTGATGAAGTCATTCGTGATGTGCAGTCTAGGCCGGATCCATTGGACTAATAATTTAGTTTGGCTAGTTAACAGCTGGGCTCACTTAATTGGCACCAGACCGTACTCGGAGTAAGTGACTGAACTACGTTTTTATCATGATGCAACCAGAAAGCACTACTTAAGAGGGAAAAAGGCTACGTTTATCGTAGCATTTTTTTCACCTATAAAAACAGTCAAAAATAAGTGGAAAAGCTCTACAATTATTGTACACCTTATAGTACATATTTCAATGGAGATTACTAAATGATGGGGTTAAATTATTCACAAACCAAAGCATAAGATCGGCTGCTATTACGGAAAAATAATTTAACACTCAATCAGAATGCTACTTTTCAGGCAGAAACCTGTTATGTTTCCGAGAATTTACAACATTTTCAGAAATAAATTTGCCCCTAAACCGAATGAAAACCATGCAGGATTTGTCGAAATTGGTCTGGAACTTCTGCAAACGAGTGATTTATCCATGCTCCCACACAGTTAGAAAAAGTAACCGACATGTGTTAATATGGGAAAATGAACACAAAATAACGCAAATATTAATATGTTTTTTTAAGTTATTTTTTGAGTTACAATGTCAGAATCTTTGCGTTGAAAATTTGAAACCTCATTGGGAATCAGGCACCAGCTGCCAGGATCAAAACTAAATGGCATTGGTGAGAGTCCAATACTGCCGTGCTAAGGAAGAACGCCGTATGAACATTCGAGAGTTGCCAAATTTCCTTCGATGAAATATTTATTTTCGAGGAAAGTTATGAATATTTTTTCGAGAAATTTTCAAGAACTTTAACTTCAGGTAAAATTGCGAACAAAATTATCTGAAAAATTGGAAGACAAAAATTCAAAATTTAACCAGGAAATTTATGCTTTACCGAAGGAAATTTGGCAACGTCTGGAGGTTTATAAGACTTTTTTCTTACGGCGTTACTTTCTACGCTAGCCACTCTCAAGTAACAATCTCTGGATGGCGTCGAGAGAAACGAGAGTTTTTTGGCGATTCTCAAAAATCCTTGCTTCTTCCTTAATGATGTGTGTGTGATTCCTAAAAATGTGTTGGAGATGATAAACATCGTCAAGAATAGAGGTGAACAAATTGAACCATGCAACTTTAGGGCTGACATGGATGGATTGAGCGCATCCTATCACCAGTTTTTAGAAGAAGAGCATGGTTTTTAGGAGAAGAGCCTCTTTAAATACTCCATGCTGGGTGTAGAGGTTGGCCTTTTATCAAGGAGGTGATAGTGCAAGTGCCCCTCTGTCCATCTGAGCTCTGTTTTTCAGTTTGCACTGATTTCTACCTCGGTCAGTTGCATGCTCATTTTCTTATTTTAATTTTTACATTTTTTTTAGCTTTTGTTGCAGTTGAGAATGGGCATGGAATTGGTCCGAAACGTCCCGGTTTATTTTCCTTAGCCTTGTAAACCCATTTGTTTTGTATTTTAATGAGTTTTTGTTGTTGAATCTGGAGTAAGCATAAACCTGTAGATTTTGAACTGTGCAGGAACATTTTACCGGTGGAGTCGTTCTTCGTCTCCTTCATCGGCCTGGGCGAGGGCTGGCACAACTACCACCACACGTTCCCGTGGGACTACCGGGCGGCCGAGGCGGGGAAGTGGCCTAACCTGACGGCGACGCTCATCGACTACTGCGCGAGCCGCGGTTGGGTCTGGGACCGGCGCTCGGCCACCACCGAGATGGTCATCAACCGGACGGTGAAGAAGGGCGACCACACGCACCCCCTCTTCGGCGACAAGACGGAGACCTTCGTCGAGAAGGTCCGCGAGATCAAGCTCGCCAAGGAGTACACCGATCAGCAGGTCGAGGACGACATGAAGCTCATGGGGCGGCTCCGGCCGGACGAAAGTAAGAAGGCGTGAGTTCGCGGAAAAATCGTCATAGAATAAAGAGACTAACGTCAACAGAAGCGAAAGCCACCGCCATTTCCATGTCAACTAAGCATAACGAAAGGAGGCTGTTTCAATAAGTACTGTTTACGTTTGCGGTAGGTCGACGTAGAGTCCCTTTATACTGAGAGTCAAGACAATTCGGCTCATGGATGTCACAAACGGGAATAAAGATTACAGAAATTGAACGTTTTTCGTAATCTTTGATCGGCCCATTCTCAAATGCCTTTCTCCGTTCCTCCTCTCATTCCGTTTGTTCCTTGCCGAACCCGTAATTCCCTGGTCCATTCCAGATTATAATCTTTGCAATTCGTGAAAATGTAATCTTTATTCCCGTTTGTGACACTGTGGAGGCCTAAAATACGGGAACCAATCAGAAATGGATTCAAATTGTCTTGACTCTCAGTATAAAGGGACTCTAAGCATAACGAAAGGAGGCTGTTTCAATAAGTACTGTTTACGTTTGCGGTAGGTCGACGTGTTGGAGAGGTCGAATAATAACGGATACATACGTTTTAAGGAATTGAAAGAGTTTTCTTTTAACTTATTTATCGTTAAACCGAAGAAGTACTGTAAATTTGCTTAAAATTTAATGTTTTTTTTCCACTTTTGTATTTGTTGGTAATCTCGAAATTGGTTTCAATAAGGACTGACGCTGAGAAGAAAAATGTTAACATTGGTTCTTACGGAGCTTTCGCTTCTGTTGACGTAGTCTATTTATTCTATACAATCGTCGGCCCCTTACGAAAGAACGTAACTGCATTTCAGTGTTGCATCATGGGGCACCGGACAAGGTCTTTCTGTCTTTCTCTGATTTTCGTGCGATTTGACCCGTGAATTGTTTATTCAAATGGCTGTATCTCTTGCATGCAAGAGATCGATCCACTTCTCTGGAGATGTTAGCCCCTAACCCCAAAATGTACATATGTCGCAGGCAAATAGTGAAATTAGGCATTTTGTCAAATGCCTAGGCAGATGGTCAAATTTTGACGGTCTACAAAATTTTGTGTATTTATGGCGAAGAGCTCACGATTTTTCACTATTTTTGGAAAAATAATTCATCAAACCTACGAACTCTTATTGTATTTTCCTCTTCAATTGCCTCTCTTATTTTTAAATGTTGAAATTCCGAAAATTCTGTATTTTACGACATGCTGAAAATTCCAAGATCAGTGACTCTTCAGGAGCTAAAAATTGTTTAAAATACTAGTGTGTGTGTGCAAATTTTTATTGAAAATTTTTTCTTGCAGGAGCAATGAATTATTTTGTCTGAAATTAGGAAAAGAATTAGAATTTCGCTCTAAGTTAGAATATTTGACTATTTGCCTAAGCATTTGATAAAATGCCTGATTTTACTATTTACCTGCGACACATACATGTCGTCCGTAATCATAGAGTACATAGAGTCATAATGGGAATGGGAGAGCTGGGACCATGTCCTGGACGACGAGTTCCGAGCCCGGTGTGCGCCGAGCTCCGGTCACTTTTTCGATACACTTTCGATCCAAAATGGCAATGTAAAATACGTGGTAATTCCTAGCCTCTTTGTTTACATTCGATGGTCGGGTCCCCATACATCGCAAACAATCGATTATGTATCGAAAATGTGACCCGGCGTGACACAGGAGTCTCAGAATTCGGGACCTGGAAAATGTTTGTGTGGTGCCAGCTCTGCGCTCCCATTTACATTACGACTCTACGTACTTTTTGTCCGCGATGAAACGCATGCGTTCAACGAGGATTTGCAATTTGAATGCATTATCCTTCGTAAAAGTTCGCGAGTAAAGCAATAACGCAACTGGTTTTCTCTAAAACGATCTCTCAAAGTTGAGGTTGTAATGTAGAGGATCGTCTGCGTTGAAAGTTCAGCTTCGCATCCGGTCAAAATGTTCATGCACAAATACGGTGTGAATGCATCTGCAGGTTTGCCACGGCTGTATTCTTGGAGTCCTCACATAAGGTGGCAGCCTTTCTAATGTGTTAGCTGTCTACATGTCCAGTGTGTATAGATAGTTTGAATGTAGAGAATGTAGAGACAGATTCCTCTCACAACGTAAGTAATTCTCTCATTGCTACCTTAACCTTGACAGCTCTTCTGCGATTGGGAGTTCCATTCAAAAAAAAAGAAGAAGAAAAAAACAGATGCACCGTTGTGTTTTTCCTGAACTTTTACATGGGATAAAGTTTTCAAGTTGCAAATATCTGTGGTAGCCGAGAGGTACTTTACGACCACGTTGACTATATCAATCCCAATCTGTCAGACGTGGGGTTTTTTTACGACGGACTTAATAGAATAGGATGGGATTCAATATTATGGGCGTGCTTAAAAGTAAGGTTTCTTGGATTCACACAAAAGTTGCTTCATTGGCGATGACTAATTCACAAAGGCTGTCAAAAATACAATGCGATGATTAAAATTTTTCGAATTTGTAAAGGGAGTGTTATTCAGTGTGTTAATAGCTTCTCGGAAAGTCCAAGAAAACCTAATATGGAGGCACGATGGGCTAGTTATCACTAAAATACAGCGTAGACTTTAACGCAGAGTAGGAAAGTTAGATGAAGGGAATCCTACGATACAATTATTTTGACTGTCAAAAAGGGTTCATTCCGCTGATTTGGAGACTTTAACGGAGAGTAGAAAAGTTGGATGGGACGAAACTCGAGATACAGCTATTTCGACCTCCAAATGAGTGAAATTGCACATCCACAGAGTGAAGGAGAACGTGGTCTTTTGTAACTGAACCGGATAAAGTTGCGGGCACGTGGTTCAGCATTTAAGTAATCTCATGAGTAACTAAAAAGAACGCTTTCTTGATTTTAATTTGCTTTATTAATTTAGTGCGACTGCTTCATTTAAGATGTCTACAAAATTTCCGATGGACCTGAAATTTCCAAAATAGATTTAACAGTTTGATGGATGGTATTTAATTGCATGCTTTTGAAACGAAAAAAATAAATGACTACTCCTTTATGTCTCTAGGGTAATTTGTACCGGAATGTTATTGACTATTGAAAAATATTTCGAAAAAATACCGAAATATCAGAAAACAATTTTTGTTTTTAGAACTAAAAAATAAAAGCGTCTTCAGCATATATTGAAAATTTATCTGAGTGGCTCAAATGACCTTCCTCAAGTGATTGATAAATTAGTCCAAATTTGTAAATAAGCATTAACTTGTAAGTAATATGTAAATAAAAAAACACTTCACCGCAATGGGATGAGCACGCTTACTTAGGTATTCCTTTTTTAAGTTTGTTGTTTCTATTGTCTCTCTTTTTCTATGATCAAGAAAATGGTTTCGTGAGCGACAAATATGTCTTGATTTACCTTTAAATCGCGATGATTCAATTAAGTATTCTTTCGTTGATTCTTTGTAAATAAATGAATAAAGCTCTAAATATTAAAAAAATGTATTTTGTGATTGCTTATTTCTATCTTCACATATGATGTCCATATTATTCCACATATTAGAAAAAGGGAAAACAGAAAAATAGAAAATAGAAAAAGTGGAGAATTTCCGCGGAAATATGTCACTTTAATACCCATTTGATTCCCATCCGTTTCGCAGTACCTTATCCAGCAGGCTGCGGGGTTCGGCTGGAAAGTTATCTGGGAAATTAAACTACCATGTTGCTTTGGCTCTAGAAAGATAGTTCTCTGACCAGAAATAATAATTAACAGGTATTTGCATGAACACAATTTCGATATTAAGATAATAGGTGGACTATTGGCTTCAGGATTGCATTATTTCGGGAAGGCAAAAAACTATACGAATTTTTCAGGGCGAACCACCCCAACGACTGAGTAAGATATATAATAAAAATTATGTCAGGTTGAAATGTAAACTTTGATTATCCGTTTTTGAAAGCCGTCAATTAATATGTTCGTTATGAAAATAAAGATATAAAGTACGTAGTATGTTGCGTAAAGGCAATAAGAAAATTAGAAACAGTAAGAGTAGTTCTGATTCCTCCCCTAAAGATAAAGGGAAACATTTTTCAACATTAAGCACTTGTGTGCAAGTTGTTCTAACATATACTTATATTCGAGTCAGTAGTTAATAGAGGGACTCATATACATGACCCTTTAGTTAGTAAGTGAAGTAGCATTTTAAGTAACTGTTCACGCCCAAAATTGTTTTTGACCAATTATTTTGAAGTTACAAAGTTTGTATAACCATTGTAATGAATTCTAGGGGGACGTAATGCAAGTACGCGGTTCCTCCCTTTTGTGAATTGTTCTTTTCCAGTAAAAAAAAAAGAAAAGAAAAATATATTCGTTATTTTCAGCGTTTCTTCAAGGTTCGGCGCAGCGCACAGCAATGTATTTCCATCTTCTTCAACCAGCTTGCCTACTTTTGCATAAAATATCCACGCCTTAAAACTTTGCAATTGCATCACAAGACCACTTCCCTCGCTTCATCTTTGGCTGTTGCCACGGCTGTTTTAATAGTTTTCTTTTCAGATTTAAATTAATTCCCTATACCCGACATAGCCCTCATGTAGGGCACTCGCCAAGCCTATAATCTTAGTCTCACCATGCTTAATTGCCTTGAAAAACTCTCTCTACTAAAATAAGTCCAAAAAGCAGTAAAGATCCACTATGTTTAAAATGCGGTCAGAGTAACCATAAAATCGGAGAGTGTAAGAATGAGGAGAAATGTGTCACCTGTGTGAGGAAAAAAATAAGACTTGTCCCTTATGCCTGTCTGCTACGACAGAAACCGTAAACACGTCTCCTTCGGCCGCAACCACATAACTGACTCAAAAGTAAATTAGAGTAAAAATTAAATGCTTACATCCGATTAATCAGAAGTAGTTAGCTGTACTCCAGCCCTAATCACCACTGTTAGTACATTTCATTTCTACACATATTAGGTTCTTCTTACCCCTCCCTCTTTTTGAACGAATGGTGGTAACTACGGGCCGACTTTATCTGGTAAGGTCACAATTGCCGTCGGAGTGCGTTCAGGGGTGAAATTCCCCATTGCTCTCAAACTTAGTTGTGGACATGAGGGGGAGGGGGGCTTATTTTTACTCACTTGGTAGTATATCTCTCGGGGGTTGACTAGATTAGGTCCTTGCATAAAGTTGTAAAGTTACCAAAAAAAAAAAAAAAAAAAAAAATCCATTAAATATCAAATCAACACGCGCAACATTCTCCTTGAAGCCAAATAAGTGTCTGCAAAGGCACTTCACCTAACAACCATAAACAGGGCTCTCTGAATTTTTGACAGTTCTTCGTTCAAATATTAATATGTCCATCCGAATGAAATATACAATACTGGCTCACTCTCCATTCATTTCCAATTCTATTGTCTTCTTATCTTCTATTCTTATTAATTCTATTGTTACTCTATTTCCATTTATCAAAGTTTGTCAAATCGAGGATCAGCTTCAAGATCCGTTCAGAGTATATTTTTTGAAAATGGAAGGAATATTTGCTATGGGTATTTCTGACTCTACCTTTTTTTTTTTTTTTTTGCTTAGCCTGACTCCGAAGGATTAATGGCCTTTAAAGTGATAGGTCTACCAAACTATAAGCCAAATTATCTTATGTAAACGCAAAAATTATGGAAAGGAACTGATTCTTCAACCCGCTTCACAGGGGAAAGAATCGATCCTATGAAAAGATCAGCGTGCCAGAATCAATTATATCTTTAAACGTATCTACGCACGATTTGTCACACCAATTGTCGAACAGCGTGCATTATTCCCTTCATGTGTTTCTTACCTACAATAAAATCCCTGTAAATGAAAACCACTCAGGTTGCTGCATGAGTTACCGACACGCCCTATTAACACATTGCGTTGGAGTTCACCGCTTCTTCTTTTTTCAAATTTAAAGACTATGTTTTACAAACAGGGTAGAAAATTCCTGTTACGAAATCTGACAACCTTTAAAAAGACTTTCTGCTTCAAAAGGACATTTTCACTCCGCTTATTTTACATCTTCTCCTCTAATATGTGGGTATCTTTGGGACAAAAATTCATAGCTCACATCACGGAGGAACTTTTCAAATGGAGATAAACACCAAGGGAGACTTTTTTACCTTACCTTACTTTTCGTCTCTGTACTGGTTTTCTTTTCCCCCTGCCTCATGGATGAGTACTCCTCCCATGCAGTTTAATCGGCTGTTGTGACTTTGCGTCCTATTGTATTAAATGTATTAATGGGGTATTACAAAAATGGTTAAAATAACATTATTTAAAGTATTTTACTTTTATTGTAGCCTTTCAAATTTATATTTGATATTCTACAGGATGATTTCTCTAGAGCTGATGTAAGCTCAACATAATTTGTTTTTATTTGCCCCTTCAATGGGTTTCTTATTTCCGTTTAATGCTGTTTTAGCAAGCAGAATCGTATAGGTTCGCCTTCTTACGATGCAGAAGCAGAGGGACATATAAATACTTAATACTCTCTGCAAATTAATGTAACGATTGTGACATTTCTAACGAAATTGTATTATTTGAAACAATAAAGTTACATTTTGGAGAAAAAAAAGAAAAAATGTGGGTTAAAAAGGATGCGTAAAATGTCCACTATCTATACTACAAAACACTTTCCAGTAGTTCTAGCTCAAACCAGCAAAAATTCTTCTTTACCATCTGTTTGCCACTAATTACCTCTCTGGATTCAAATCGTCCTTCAACAGTAAAATGAAATTGATGATTGCATGATTTGTAATTTTCCACGAATGATAGAGTAATAGTGTTTTAGTTTTCCTGATAGTGACAGTGGGTTCAACACTCAAACTAAGAGAGATCCTTCGTATCGCCAACTAGTCGCCCTACTTCTCTGTACCTCACAATTTAGACTCGCCTCCAACAGTCATGTTAAACGCAAGCGTAAGTGTTGTGCTATCTTTCAAACAAGTAGCTGACATCTTCTTGCTTATAGTATCAAAACTCAACCCAATAAAAACCTGCCTTGAGGAATTCGAAATAAGTTTATTATACTCCATCTCGAACACTTGCCTCAGAGCTTCGAAAGCTGTTCCGCAAACCTTATGATTAATAATGACCCCAACCCGTTTGACCGGGATCACAAGTGTGTCTGCGAACCCCAAAAAGTACCCCACTTCCTGCCCCATTTCATCAAAACCGACCCCACCGGGGACCAGAACCTCCTCCAGCACATCTGGAACAACAGACTGAACTGCGTAGAAGAGGATAACCAAGATGTTCTCCCGCAATCTGCAGTCGCTCAAATACGGCTTGACCACCGCCAGAGCAGCATCCAGAAACCCCTCGCACGACTTCCTGGACCCATCAAGGTTCCCGACAGAGTCTTTCAGTTTCGCAAGACGTGCCTTATTGAAAATAAACTCCCCTGCCAAGGCCTTCATGAGCATGGATTTCAAGTTATGCGCAATTTCCAAAGTAGGCACACGCAGATTCCCATAGCCTCCCAGCTCCTCGAAGATGTTGGTAAAGTACCCGAGCTCGTAGAGGTACTGCAAGAAAAGAGGGGTCGACCTCTGTCGGTATTTAAATCTCTTGTCGTTAACACCGTCCAAGTACTCTCGCAGTTCCTCCAAGTCTTCGAACTGCACGCGTTTGGCCAATTTAAGCACGACAGCCCCTCCCCGAAGGGCGGTTAGTATGTGACCACCAGCTGCGTCCAACCTGAACGCCTGGACGAACCGATCGGTGGAGACACCAGGCTTCCAGGTCTCCAGGATTTTCCCGGACTCTATACTCCTGATAACGGATCCCGTAGGATAGGCTCTGAGGTCGGTGGCGTTGATGCTATACCCGCAGAATTCACGAGCGAGCTGGTCGATGGTTAGACTGCTATTGTAGCCCTTTAAAAGATCTTTCACATGGTCGGGTGACAGGCCGAATGAGAAACCGATCAAGTCGCTATTGACGAAGCTTTTGTAGACGGTGTTATTAGAAGCGTAGACCTCACCGAGACGGGATCGCCCCGTGAGGAAGCCTGCCTCCAGGTGCTTGTTCTTGCGGAGCAATTGGTCCAAAAACCCCGCGAGCCAGGACCGGATCTTGAACGCGTCGGGGGTGGAATTGCGTAACAGGGTGGTGGCCGGGTGGTCGAAGGAATCGATCAGAACCACGCATTTTTTCTTGAAGTAGTCGTGTAGGTCGCGCGTCAGGTTCCGGCCAGCGAGACTGGAGTCTCCGGGCGTTGTTCCTAAAGGATAGAAAGAAACTCATTGTAGGAATAGGGGGCAATGGCGATTGGGCGTCGCAGAGCGCGAGGCTGCGCTGTGAAAGCGGCTTGATATACAGAATGGACCACTAGACAAGGCACGAATTTTAGCTTTCTGAAATATGTTTCGTAACTAAAACTTTACGGAGAACACGGTGCGCACATCAAAAATTACCACAACTAAAACCTTACGAAGATATTTAATGATTCTTGATGCGTGAATTCAAACCACCCGCTCATGAAAACTCAATGCTCTGCGTGATTCACATCGTGCGCTAAACGTTACCATGGCAGTCTCTCCGATTTAAAAATGTGGCAACCTCAATCTTGACGCTTTGGCTCAGCTGTAGCAAATTGCTTATAGTTGGAACAACACAGGGTGGGAAATGAACATTAATCGATTGAGAAGCTTGCTGAAACCGTTGTGGTGCGCGAGTTGACTCACGTAGAGCTTTGAGTTTCTTGTGAGCGGGCAGTTCAAATTCCTCGTAACCAATGTGAAATAAAAACGTTAATATCTTCGTTAGGAGTTGGTTTCAGTAATTTTCGTTGCGCGAATCGTCTTTTACGTGAAATTCTGGTTAAGAAACACGTATCAGATCGCTTAAATTCGTACCTTCTCTAGTGGTCCATTGTCATGATAGGGAGTTATTGATCGAGTTCATTCGATGACGATTAAACAATCGACCCGGTGCTCCTCGCCACCAATTCAAGTACCTATCATTCATCACGTGAACTTGGAGTCAATAAAGGAATAGTACATTTACGTATTTCGGTGTTCTTTTTTGATCAATGCCGACCATCGATGTCGGAGGATTATCGTCGGATATCGAGGAGGACGTCACCCCCCCTCCCCCCAAGCAGTGAGATTTACATCAGGACGTCCTTGTCCTTGACTGAAATATGACTTCAGTCCTTAGTAGTCACTCCACCTTTGCGCATGGCAAAATGTTCCCACAGGCCTTCTGGCCTGGGTCCTTGTTTTTTTAGTCTTATTATTTTGAGAATTATTATTAAGTTAGACTCATCGAATTTAGAATTATTTATGTTGAGGGTGAATACTAGGAAGTCTTTGAAAAACCATGATTTTTTTGCTGAAATTTTCCAACGGTATGATTAAATTTAATAACACCCCTTCCGCTCTTGAACTCCATGACTTGAATTTACATCTGAAGGGCTTGGATGGCAAGGCGCATAAGTGCAAATTCTAAATGGACATAAAGATGCGCGTGATTTCAACTGAAACTAGTCTTTTAAATATATTTTAAGAAAATTTCACTAAAAAATCCCATCATCAAAATATGAGTTCGAACTTTCTTTCCGCCATTAGGCTCCAAGTAATTGGAAACTCTAATCGCGCATACCTTGGAATATCATAAATTGCAGTTATCGTCGTGCCTCGCACGAATGAACATATCTACATTTCAATTTTGCCGAATTTTTCCTAGCAAACAGCTTTTTGACCTAAAGAATTATGGGCATTTCCAACTGAAAATTTGACTGATCTCTTTTGAGACTGTGGAAAAATCAGAAAAATTTAAACAAAAATTGCACGGGTTTATTTTCGTAAAATGCAGGAGTTCTTTGAGTCGATTTTGCAACCCTGCGATGGAGTTGCACTCTTTCATGCGAGAAACGACGTTATGCGCTTTGTCCACCAAGCCCCTCACTATTAACTAGAGTCCCTTTATACTGAGAGTCAAGACAACACCCCTCATGGAGTCACAAACGGGAATAAAGATTACACAAATTGAACGTTTTTCGTAATCTTTGATCGGCTCATTCTTAAATTCTTTTCTCCGTTCCTTCTCTCATTCCGTTTGTTCCTTGTCGAACCCGAAATTCCTCGGTCCATTCCAGATTATAATCTTTGCAATTGGTGAAAATGTAATCTTTATTCCCGTTTGTGACACTGTGAAGGCCTAAAATCCGGTTAACCAATCAGAAATGGATTCGCATTGTCTTGACTCTCAGTATTAAGGGACTCTACTATTAACCACGCACGAAATGCTGTACCTAGGTTCTGGAGGCTCGACGACACGTAAGGGTAGGCAGAGACGACACCCTGAACCATGGAGACGGCACTCCGCAAGAAGGCGTCAAGGGTGGTAGCGTGGAGGGTGGAGAAGTCCAGTCTGACGACGGGGTACGCGGCGATGTGCTCGTCGAAGAAGTAGCTCTCGTTCATGACGACGAAATGACGTCCGCGGGAGCCGTAGACGCCGGTGAAGAGGCGGTAGGCGGACGTCTCTTTCTGTGGGCGCGGGCGGTGGTTCTCGTCGACCTCCACGCGGAAGTAGCGATCCATGATGTCGACGAGGGCCGTCTTGCCGGCACCGCTCGGGGCCGAGACGAAGAGGGGCTGAGCAGGGTGGTTGTGGAAGTCGTAGAAGATCTTGACCCACCGGGTGCGGTCCACGAAGAGGCTCCGCGCCGCGTCCGACTCTAAGTCGCACGAACCCATCTAGAAGAGAAGAGTCCGGGGTATGCAGACAGAAGGTCTACAGCAAAAATGTCCACAAGCAGAAAGTCTACATTTACAATATCTAGAACTAAAAAATCCACTACGCAAATGTCTAAAAATAATAATGTCTTCTAAAAAAAAGTCCATACTCAGAAAGTTCGCTTCTGAATGAAATAGGTAGAGTGAACTCACATCAGTTACTTCTTTAGTTGTATCTATGGAGAAGAACCATCGTGTCTTCATTTTCCTTTAATGGACGCGTTATATGTAGACATTTACTTTCTTGGGCATTCTAGAAGTAGACTTCTTAATTGTAGACATTTTGACTGTAGACCAAAAAATGTGACATTTTTTGAGTAGACCTTTTTTTCGTACACCTACTGTCCGTGATTCGAGTCCGGTCAGCAGACAACGATTAATCTGTGCTCTAGACTCCGACTCGACTCTTGATCAGTCTTGTCTTGCTTGGTGCAGTGAACGGACGAAAACTATTTCATCTTTACTAAAAAAGGTGGTTTATTAATAAAATAAAAAAGATTTTTAGAGGTTGGCTAATATAATGACTTCTGAAGAGGAAGCCCTGAAGCTTGTGGAACTGGTGGAGGCTCGGCCGTACCTCTGGAACCCACGGAATGCATTTTATGCTAACAAAAATGTTACTGACTTTTTTTAATATTTTCTGTATTGAAAGGGTGTTCACTATAACGACAAAAACGACGATGCTTCTTCACCGCCCATAGCGAAAGCACGTCTTCTTCGTCGGATGAAGACATGATGCTCTGCCACCATGACCCAACAGTATTGTTGATAAATTAAAATTGAGTCGCGAGGGAGTTTAACCCTGTATAAACACACGCATCAAATCCCCGTCAAGTCGCAGTCTCGGATCAAATGAGCGCAATCGCGTCGCGATCAAGAGTCAAATGCTGTATAAACACGGCCTAAGCGATTAAATGCGTGAGCATGATCGCTTCTTCCGATCAATTCACTACTCTAAAGTTGTAGGGTGTCGCGTGTACCGCAACGCATTTATTCGTGGATGTTCTTTATCTCCCTTTCTCCCATATTTTCGGTCTCTCTCTATGAATTTTCAAAACCAAGCATCGAGCAAGCTTCACTTACTCTTTGCTGTGATGAGTCGCACGCATCTTTCTTTATTATACTTTTTATTACGCAGCGGCGCAAGATGGATTGATTAATAAAGCTCTTCCGAGGCTGAGCTCTAGTTTCTGTACTGAGAGTTCTTCACTCCGGTTTTCTCCATCATGCACAGCCAACCTCAATGCTCCCGATAGTCAGTTCATAGTAACGTAACGATTCCATTTCAAAAATACAAGCGAGTCATACGTCACCTGATTTCATCTGTTTTCTTGCTCGCCCACATACCGCCACGGATAGGATTTTTAGGTGTATTCAGTCCGCCTACAACTCAACAAATCCATATCCGCGACATATGGTTCACCCGTTTGATGCGAGCGAAAATATCGCGATCCATCGCATACTTCAAGTGGTCCGTTTCTGTTGAAATACTTCTGGACGAAAGAACAGTTCGAATGCGATTTTCCAAAATCCGAACTCATTTCGAGCGTATCTCATTTAACTATTGGGTAATTATTAATGAAGAAACAGTTTTTATACGCGTTCAAAGCTTTATACGTCGATTAATCGATTACTCGATTGTGAGGTTATGAAAACTCTAAAAAGAACTTGGCTGTTTTAAGACGTATATTAATTTTTGCTCTCACGGCATCGCCATATTTCAACTCGCCTCCGGTCGGTTAAATTTAATAGACAAATAAACTATTCGAGGGAACATTGAATTGCTTCCTTATCCGGCAGCCGAGAGCCGGAGATGTCACCTTGTTTCAGTTCTTCGCGAGGTTTTGTGGTCCTTCCGATGTAGCATTCCTCAACGGCAAAATCGCGATATTTTGAAATTAAGGTTGGACTTTTGGGCCATAAAATCGGTAGGATCGTCAGCATCCGAGCGATTATCCTCAATCGTGTAGCAGTTTTATCTCTATCAAATCGCGTTCGATAAAATCGAAAGTTTATCTCCCTTTGCAGCGATTTCTCCACTTGTCAAAATGGAAGATCAAAGTGGCTCAAAGTCGGGACTAAGTCCCTACTTTGAGCAACTTTGATTTTCCATTTTGACGAGCGGAGAAAGCGCTCATCAAGATTCTTTCCTCGATGATATTGCGATAAATCGCCGTCGAAGGAATCGCGATATAATTGCAAATTTATGCAACGAAATCGATATTTTTATCCGATATTGATGCAATAAATCAACGTCGATAAAAGTGAAACTTATCACGATCACTGCTCCTTGGGTGATATCCATGGCCGAAGTGCGTATCACCGTTTGCGACGTCGCACAGTGGATCGGGTCAATTGGACCACATTTTGCAATTTGGACCTATAAATTCTGACTCATCTGAAAAAAACACTTATGTGCATAGGGAAACTAATGGCACATACGTTGTTTTTAAACCGGGCCGGAATTTATAGTTCCTAATTGCAAAATGTGGTCCAATTAGAGAGGTCGGAAATGCAATTTTTGACTTAAACTGCATATTTTCATGTTTATTTCGCCACATTTTAAATTTTAAGCGCGGTGCCTCTAGATTCTGGAAATATCACGAGCAAACCATTGAAATTACTTTTAGAACCTCAAAGTTTTGTATAAACGGAGTTAAAGACGTTTAAAGTTTCCAAATTTTGCCCGACTTCTATCATTGACTCGATCCAGTGTGCGTCGCAGACTTCCTTATCATTCTTTAATTTTTCCTAGGAAACCCAGTTACCTCAACTTCATGAAAACTTCCTAAATTTTTCGTCTCTATTAGTAAAATATTTCGTAGAAATTTTGAGTTTTATGGTTGACTTGTTTCTCCTCGAAAAAATAAAAGAGTAGCAGAGATTTTGAAGCACCACGATGGAGATACATGCTTTTGCACCTAGGCCATCGATACGTGGTCACCCCCGGCCTAAGTATCACAAGCGGACGTTTCAAAATCTCCGCCACCATTTTATTTTCTACAGAGAAATTGGTGCTGTCTAAAAAATTCACTGAATTTTATAGGCAGCATACAGAAAATTAAGTGAAATTTTTGGACAGCTTCGTTGAACAATTTCTTTGTAAAAAACTAGAATGGCGGCGGAAATTTCGAAACGTACGTCGCATGGCGCTTATGATACTTTCGCCAGGAGATGACGATATATTTTTTAAATGACGTTTCATCCCTCGAATGACAACGTTTGACCCTTAATCATTTGAGAAGAGTGGGAGTTATAGGACAATGAGAAAACCGACGAAAAGCTGAAAGAAAGATTTCTATGTCTGGATAGACGCGATTGCGTGAGTCGTGAAGGCGCAACGCTTTGCTCTATGCTACTAGTTTGAAGAACCATTACGAATAAGACAACGCAAACAAACGCAAACAAACACAATATTGAAAAAACGAGGAAAAGGGTGAGCGTTAACGACGGCGCAGAGATAAAACTATTCGTACTTGATGGACGTCCGTGCTGCATCTGAAAAATTGAAGGCGCGATGACGCGAAGCGTGAGCTCCCAATGCTCTGTCATATATTGTCAATGAGGTGTCGCTCAGATTCGGGAGAAAAGTTAAAAAAGAGGCCCAAACACATCTCTCCTACCTTCGGCTGGATTGTTCCTCGCTCTTTCTTCTTTTTTCAGGTTCTTATTGTGTGATTCTTTTTTAGGGTGGATTTGCAGACCCACACCCACGTCTTAAGCTCGTGAAAACCGCAGCACTGGCTCGGTTCTTTTGGAAATAATGGTGCTTGGATGATGGTGCCTGTACGTACAACGTGTCGTTGACAATTAAATGACGTGTAAGAAATAGATTTTTATTGGAAATCTGCCCTGCTGAAGAGGACGCCATTTGTACTAAATTAGCCTCGACTAGTTTTTGGGAGATAGGATCCCTTATCGATTTTTAGGTCCTCTCTCTTTTCTTTCTTTCTTGGATCGTTTCGGTTCTGAAATCCATTTATTATGCCACGTAAGTTGGGTTGTAACTCTTTTTTAATGTCTCCTAAAAAATTACACAGACTTTTAATATTTGTTGTGAAATAACTTGCAAAATTCAGCTTCGGTTGAAGGTCCAATCTGTGCAAGGAATTCAATAATTTTGTCAGTTCGCAGGGTAAAATGTGAGTATTCCTTTCTGAAATCAGTCAATAAGCTCCCTATTTTCTTCTTTTTTCTTTAATGCTCAATGGATTTGTTAGCGATATTTATCCACTCTCGCCAGTGACCTGCTTCCTTACGTGAGAAAATCTGGCCACGCCCCAAGACCCAACGTCTCCGTTCTCGTTGAATTTCAAACCTATGCACACAACTTCTTCCATCGTACCGAAGTAATATTTCTGCAGGTACTTCACTTTGCACTCGTACACTGGATTTACAGGATTTCCCATCATCACTGGTTCAAAAATGTACAGTTTATTGTTCAAGAAAAGTGTGATATCTGCTCGGCCTTTATTTTTTACATCTTCCATTGAAGGCTTAGCTATATTTTTACAGTTGCTAAAATGGAATATAAGGTACATGGTGAATTGCAACCATGCTTCAAGACCTTTCCTCTGATTACCATTGAGATGGAATGGAATGCCACTATGGGATGAATTCAGTTTGGAAATGAAAGATTCCCAGTGAGATCCATCAAGGTCTCGCACCAACGAGTTTATCCTGTACACCATGCTTGACGGACCACGCCCTGTGAGAGAGAAATAAAGACGCTCAGCATAATCTTGTCTCAGCTCTAGATTAGAGAATCTTAAAGTGAAACAATCAGTCATATTGTTATAGTTACTGATGCTCAGGTAGCCGCCGTGAAAAAGAAGTACTTTTAGGGCTGCAGGATCCGTCGAATAATCATAATTGATTTTCCCTGCGAGTTCCGCGAATGTAGCAGTTATTTTTTGTTCTTCATCAAATCCACCAGATTCTTCAACGACTGGGGAGCTTACAAATAACTCGACAGCCTCCCGTTTGAATGTTTTCAGTCTTTCGACAAGGAATTGACTTGCTCCTCCTGAGCTACTGAAACAATGTACGTCACCTCCGGAACGCAAATAACCGATGACAGAGATCGGATTATACAAGGACCCATTTTTTGAGGTAAATCGAAATCCGTACAGCCACTTAGCCATCTCGTTCAGAACGCTTTCTGTGCTGCTCTTTCTTCCTTTGGCAACTTCCTCGATGAAGCCCCCGAAATATTGTGTTACTTCTTTTTCGGTAAAACCCACGATGTCGGAATATTCGGGGTCCATTGTAAGATCGACTGCGGCATTCGCCCCTGAAAAAAAGTCCGAGAGAGGTAGCCGTGTTATACCTGTTGTGTAACAGAAGCGTATTTTCTCAACTGCGCCTTTCATGGAGCTGAAGAAACTCTGCAGTGTTCCTAAAATCCGGGCGGCTAATTCCTTATCCCGTGCATAACTGGCTGTGTAAGGTGTATCATATTCGTCGATTAAAATTACGACCTTTTCATTATACTTTGCATTCAGCTTCTCAATTAATTGGCCAATGGCTGTACCGACAATCCGCGTATTCAGATTGATATTATGCCTCGCTGCAATATCTTCCAAATATGCTGACAGGGAAACCTCAAATCTATCGAGAGAAATGACTGAAATTCCACATGAAAAATCTATACGAATTACCGGATGTTTAGGCCAATCCTTGCCAAGATAATGCGAATAGATTTTGGTACCGACGAATAGCTTTTCTTCGCCTTCAAAGAATGACTCCATAGTGTCGACCAAGAGGCTTTTCCCGAAACGCCGAGGGCGCGACAGGAACCAAAACGGTTGTGGCCTCCTGACCATTTTCCACAAGCATTCCGTCTTGTCAACGTAGCACTTGCTTTCCTCAACTAAGCTTCTGAGGTATGATTGGCTAGGCCATGGTAAAAGTCCACATTGATTTTTAAGTACCAGTGGTTCGAGTGTCACTGGAGAAAGAGAATCTTTCGAATTCTCTTCGTATGGGGACGATAAAAACGGCACGGCACTCCCAGAACACACAAAGATGATGAGCGCAGTAAAAAATCCAGGACGTTTAAAATCCATTCTGAGCCAGAAATTTGTACTTTAAAATTTAATAGCTTTGTCGGTAGTTGAAAAAGGTGTTTGAGCGATGTAATGGTTGCACTGCACAGAATACGCGACTGAATGTTTTCTCAAAGGCACGAATACTAAAACTAATGTACTAGGTATACTGGATATACACTAGAGGTGAAAATCTCACCCCGAAAGAGATGCACTTTAGATTGGTGCAGCGTAGCAAGTTATGTAAAGCTAGTGATAAGATTGTTGGAAAAATAAATTTGATTTCATTGATGAGATAAGCTCTGGATTGATTAAGTTTGATACGTTGTTCGTCACCTTCATCCAGCTCATCCGTGCGGCCGGCTGCGAGCTCCGAGCCCCAGTGTAAACCTGTAATGAAAAGTAATATGTCTATCTAGTATCCAGCCTTCGCCACAACTCGCCTTATCATTTATCCTAGTCGTCCACAATACAGCATGGTAGATGTCGATCCACTACAAAGATGATACATAATTATAGCACAACGGCAAAAAAGAAAACCCCAAAACGATGAAGGAGACTTCTCGACTCCTTGTACTCCGGATGGTCCTGTTCAGCACTTGGAAATTTCGAATGTCTAACATTCAACTTAATGTCATGTGTCACCGAGATTATGCTATCATAACATCTTTTCTCAGCGCATTTTTGCATCTGAGGGGCTAGCATTGCTAGCAACCCTTCATTCAGTCACGCGCGCTGGTGAAAATTGGACGTATCAAGGCCTTGTCTCCACGAGCCGTTTCACGAGATTTGTCCCAGGGAAAAATCCCACTTACGAAGTTGGGAAAAATATTGAGTTAATCAATATTTTTCCCAGTACCAAGTATGGTGCTTGTACCCCTAGGACCCACTGAGAGAAGAAGAAGAAGTGAAAACGAACTGTGCGATATTTTATTCATTACTACATTGTTCATGTTAGTTTAGTTAAAATAATGTGTCTAATGGACCACTAGACAAGGTGCGAATTTCAGCATTCTGATACATGTTTCTTAACCAAAATTTCACGTAAAACACGATGCGCACAACGAAAATTACCGAAATCAACTCCTTACGAAGATATTCAATCATTCTTGATGCGTAAATTCAAATCACCCGCTCATAAAAACTCAATGATCTACGTGATTCGCATCGCGCGCTAAACGTTATCATGACAGTATCTGCGATTTAAAAATCTGGCAACCTCAATTTTGACGCTTTGGCTCAGGTATAGAAAATTGCTTATGGTTTGATCAACACATGGTGGGAAATGAACATTGCTCGTTTGAGAAGCTTGCTGAAACCGTTGTAGTGCGCGATTTGACTCACGTAGAGCTTTGAGTTTCTTGTCAGTGGGCAGTTCAAATTCCTCGTAACCAATGTGAAATAAAAACGTTAATATCTTCAATAGGAGTTGGTTTGATTAGTTTTCGTTGTGCGAATCGTGTTCTACGTAAAATTCTGATCAAGAAACATGTATCAGATTGCTTAAATTCATACTTTGTCTAGTGGTCCATTGTCAATTGAGTGCAATTATTATTTAAATCCCGGTTAAATACTCGACTTTATCTAATTTATCTTCCCGCGCAAACTAGTCGCAGGACTGTATGAGCCCCGTCCCGTGGAGACGGTAACTGGGAAAAATACCAGAAGTTTCATTCCTGCGATTCGAACTTGGGACAAATCCCATGAAAACGTCCCTGGAGACAAGGCCTTATGCTAACAGGAACTATGTCTCACGCAAGCCGTATGCACATAGTTCCTTTTAGCATGAATACATCCAATTAAAGTAGACCTTCTGGTCTAAGTCCCTTTCGGACAAGATGAAGTATTTTACACCTTCCCCTCGGGAGGTTAAAACGACTCTCTCTCAGTCACCGAGGGGGAGTTTTGCTTCGAGGTGGGGGATGATTTGGACTGCATTTTGCAATTAGGAACTATAAATTCCGGCCCGGTTTAAAAACAACGTATGTGCCATTAGTTTCCCTATGCACATAAGTGTTTTTTCAGATGAGCCAGAATTTATAGTTCCAAATTGCAAAATGCAGTCCATTTGACTCGCGGGCACCCGCGGCGCACAGTGGATCGAGTCAATAGGAGAGGTCGGACAAATTTAGAAACTTTAACCGCTTATAACTAGAGTACCTTCATAGGGAGGGTATGGACAACTCGAAAATTTGGATGTTAGGTTTAATCAGGTCATGTTGCTCTTAGGGCCCAAAAAGGCAGCCAACCTATGAACTCGAATTATCCAGTAGTACTAATTCAAACTCCGAGAGTAGGTACACTGATCAAAAATTATAAAAGCACGTATAAAACTTTGATTTTGCATACATTTTCTCAGTCTCAAAGTCTGTATCCTTAAAGACGCTTGTTTAAAATGCGCTGTCGGCCCTGTTGATTTATCTTTCGAATGCACAGGTTGGCAGCGGCACTCTTCTAGTGATTTTCGTTTTTCACGTCCTCGCCCTTTTGGACCATAAGAGCTACATAAATCGAGTTGTCCATACTCTCCCTATAAGGGTACTCTACTTATAACTCCGTGCATACACAATTTTGAGGTTGTAGAAGTGGTTCCATTGGTTTCTTCGTGCAATTTTCTGACACAAGCAACCCTTGAAATGAAAAACGTGACGAAATAAACATGAAAATTTGCAGTTTTAGTAAAAAATGTCATGTCCGACCTCTCTGATTGACTCGATCCATTGTGCGGCGTAATAGGCGGCATTGTAGGCGTAGTAGGCGGCATTGTAGGCGTAATTCGGATTTTCCCCCAGGAGATTTTACCGCGGCCGAGCTCCCACATTTGGGAATGCTGCCCTGGACGGTCCTGATTCGTCGTTGCCCCCCCTCCCCTCCCCCACTCCGTCAAAATTCTTTAGCGGTCTGATCGTCGCGCACCGCAACCGCTAGAAGACTCTTCGAAGTTCTCGGGGCTGCTCCCCAGATACTTTAATGATCCCTAATCCTCTGGACATAGATCTGGCGAACTGAAGGTCAAAAAAGATAAAAAGAAGAGGAAAAAATATTTCCAATATACATGTGTGATAAGAGTTTTCAGAATCCTTTATGCTATGTTCACTTCCATGAGTCTATGGCTCCCCAGCCAGACACCACAGTTCCACTTTCTGGAATGAAATATACCACCCATATGCTAATTTCAGAGTACTTATCTAAAATAATTCCCCGACAAATGGTATTTACGACCATTGTACTTTCCCTCTCTCTCTCCAGTTAGCAGTGTTTGTAACTCGTTATAATGTTTGCTGTGGTTGATTGTGCTTATCTGTCACCCCTTTAATATCTTTGACGGATTAATTTGAAGAATTTCATGTTATATACATGACTTCACTTGAATCCACGCGTTGAGGCATTGCTGCGAATTAATCAGTGGTCAGGAAAAATAGAACATGAAATACCACCAAGCGTTATTATTATTCGAGCCAGTGATTTATCAAAAGAGGAATAGTACCTATAGCCACTAGTACAGCCTATAGATTCCGTTTCCCAACTTTCTTTTATCGAATGGTTTCTGTTGTAATTAAATTCTGTTAAATTTTAATTAAATTAATTAATTAATTAAATTAATTTCTATTTCTGTTATCTGGGTTTCCACTTAATGAAATTATGCACCCCCCTAATCCACGGTGTAAATAATCCTTTTTATCTGTGATTCTTTGTTGTCTTCATCTGTAAGCTACTTTCTTGATAACTGTTTTTCCCCTTCTCAAACCCGCCGTGGTAATTACTTACTATAGTTATTTTCCATGCTCTCGATTACTTCAACGGAGATATGAACATGAACACAAAAACTCAACCTGGCAGCACCTGCACCTGGAAGATTTCGGTGCACAGGAACTGAAACCTCGCAGATAAATAGCAGGATGACTTTCACCCGAGTTCTGACATCGAGCCCAGCGAAACTTATCATACAAGCCTTGTTTACTGCGTTTGCGTACTTTCCGAATAATGATTTCATGACTGACTTTTCAAAGACAGTCTTTTAGATCTGTATGCACCTACAACCCTGTCAGATGGGAAATCTGAGTTTGCTGAAACTTACTGGGTTTCAAACCGAGATTTCAAAATTAGTTTGGATTACTAACACAAATATATCCGTTCCGTATAGGAAGATAAAATAGATAAATAGAAGCTAGATCAAATCATAGTGACGAATTTTGGGTTCATGATAGCGGTATCGTCGGTTTTCAGCGCAGGAAAATATTAGAATTTGTGCCGAAATAGAAAATATTAGAATTATGATTACTAATTATAAAATAAGATAAAAATCATTGAACAGCTCCTGCGTTTGTTGTAAATAAATTAGGGTTTAGTTACCACCCCAACAGTACCAACCCTAACGAATAGTGGACCAAGTGTTGAAAAAACAAATCTTATTTCTATTCATTTAGTTTGGGCTACTGACACAAATATATCCGTATAAGAAGATAAAATAGTTAAATAGAAGCTAGATCAAATCATAGTGACGCATTTTGGGTTCATGATAACGGTATCGTCATTTTTCAGCGCAGGAAAATATTAGAATTTGTGACGGGATTACTAATTGTAAACTACTACTACTAATTGTACTAATAGTATTTATGTGTTGTAGGTAAATAAATTAGGGTATAGCTACCAACCCAATTGAATAGTGGACCAAGTTCTGAGAAAAGGAATCTTATTTCTACTTATTTTCGTTCATTATCAAACATTGATCTTATCAGATTAACCTGATTATCAGATCGTAATCAATCAATTGAGTAACCACTTTCATTGGTTACTTCATCTTTCCACGTTTTCTTATCTTATCTTACTATAGTAAAAAAAAATAAGGCCTTTTTTGTGTGTACGTCCGTGTCATTTCGCATTCTCATTGGTCGTTCATTAACCATACTATAGTAAAAAAAAATAAGGCCTTTTTTGTGTGTACGTCCGTGTCATTTCGCATTCTCATTGGTCGTTCATTAACCAATCAGAAAACGTCATTGAAAATCCCCGGGAAATTTNTTTTGATATGACTATTAGTAAAAGCCAAGGGCAATCATTTGACAGAGTGGGAATTTTTATAGATAAAGAAAGACCAATGTTCGCTCACGGGCAACTGTATGTAGCATTGTCTAGATGTAGGACTAAAGAAGGTTTAAAAATAAAA